GGATGCTGAAGCTCAGAGAGAGAGGTTCAGTGACATGCTCAAGTTCAGGAAGGGGCTGAGGCAGAATTTAACCTGTATGCAGGACTGACACCAGTGATCTTAACTAATATCTCATATCTAATAAATTATCATTAGGCTACACTATTACGGGCTTGGGTAACTAGTCCCACACCCCCAAGAGACTGAAAGAAATCTGATGTGTCCCAGCAGGGGGTGGCTGGGGAGACCAAAGCCCAGAGAGGGAACCCCAGCGTTCTTGCCAGCTACCACACATCCACTCCAGGACCTACTGAAGGACCGCGGCTGATGCTGCTGGGACATCCTGGGACTACGTGAGACCGTGGTAGAGGACCCCTCGCCGGCCTGGCAGCAACAACAGAAGATCTTTGACGCCATGTCTTGGTGGGCTGTGGGAAGAGGAAAGGGAAGGGCATTGGGGCATCTGGCTCTGCAGCCCCAATCCCAGAAGCCCATTGTTATTTAAGCACTGGGTCACACAGGGCCAGCCTCTCCCAAGGTATCATGCCCCTTCCCCTCCCATACCTCCTGTAGCTCCCTGTGGCCAGCATGTCCAGGCCTACCTATGTGGGCCTACGTCTGACCAGGCCTTCCTCTTCTGTCCACAGTTGTCTTACCTGTGGGAAGGACTTGGAGCCTTTACTCTGCCAGTCTACCTGTAGGGGTACCTTGTTGAATCAGCACATCAGCTGGTAACACAGCTCAGCCTTGCCGGTTCAAGTCCTGGCTCTGCCACTAATTTGCTGTGTGGCTTTGGGCTTATCCACGTCGGTCTCTGGGCCTAGGCTCCCATTAAACAGGCAGGGGTCGGCTGCACCATTTCTCCAAGGATACTTCCAAGCTCTGATGACCCAAGGTCGTTAAGTCCTTGTCTTATTCCCAAACTTCTTTCTCTCTTCTCGGCCTCTGGTCCTCGCCTGTTCTCATTTCCCTTTCCCTGTGGCCAAAGCCCCACTCCGGGGAGTTTTCATCATGGCGGCTGTATTCACTCCCTGCACATTTTGGTTCACTCCAGGGCCTCCCCCTTGGGCACTGGCTTCCCACCTCTCCCAGCCACCACCCTGTCTCACGTGGGTCATTGCAATGGCCTCCTGACTGGTCTCCCTGCTTCTTCTGCCCTGGTCTTCATTAGTGTTAACAAGGCAAAATCCTCTTAGGATATCAGTCACGACATGTCACACCTCAGCTCAAGAGTCTCCCCGTGCCGTATCATGTAGGATCAAAGCCGAAGTCCTTCTCTGGGCCTCCCCTGTAAAAAATCTATAATCTCAGCACTACCTTCACCCTCCCCTCCCTTGCTGTCTCCTCCCACCCTCCCGTCCCCTCTGTCCCAGCTGCACCTTCGGCCTGGGATGCTCTTCCCTGGAGATCCCTGGAACTCATCCCTCTCCTCCTCCATGGCTTGGTGTAAACATCACCTTTTCTCGTGAGGCCTTCTCCCTCTAGTTAGGCCTATCTCCCCTATTTAATTTTTCCCTATTTATTCCCCTATCCCCCCCCCCAAAACTATTTTTGTTCCTCCCATGTACCCTATTCTGGGATCAGGTCCCACTACTCACGTTGTGTCTGGAGTCAGAGAAGGGGACCCCCCTCCTCCTGGCCCCTGCCTCCCCTTCCTTCCACATTCAGTCATTCGTTAAGGCATTGTGATCCTACCTCATAAATATCTCCTCCATTGCCTGCTACCCTCCACCCCCTGCCCTCGCTGGGACCCCCATGACCACAGCTTCCCCCGCTGGCCCCTGGCTCACCTGCAAGCCGGTCTGCCTCCAGCGCCAATCCCATCGTCATCCTCTGCCTCGAGCCCTCAGGGGCTCCCCTGTTCTACTACTTGGAACTACTTGGTGCTCTGGCCCTGCCGACTCTGCCAGCCTCATTCCCTCCCAGCCTCGCCCCTCGCCCTCCGGCCATAGGAGCTGCCGGCAGCGCCCCAAACTTGCTCGCAGCGTGTCACTACTGTGCCTTTGCCCACGCCCTTCCCCCCACCTCCCTCACCCCTCCCACTGGAGACTCAGCTCAGGGGCTGCTCCCTCCTGGAAGCCATCTCTTCTACCCGCGAGGAATTAGGGGCCTCTCCTGAGCTCCCACAGACCCCCAGGCTTTCCTGGGTCATGGCCATTGCCTGTCTTTGCATAACGCTATAGCAGGTGCTCAATAGCTATTTGTTGAATGGACACTATTTCCACTGCCTGCTTAGTTGTGAGACTCCAGACTCCAATCTGTGGTTCTAAAAATTTGTTCCGCATGTATTTATTGAGGTGCCAGGCACTAGGTGAGGGATATGGCAGTGAACATGAGCGAGAGATTCCCGCTCTCTAGGAGGCAGGGATGCATCCAATTCCCCTTTGGACCCCAGCGCTGAGCACAGGGCTTTGCACAGAGTAGGTACCCTCCCAGTGGGACCCGAGTCAACACACAAGCCCTCTCTGATTGTAGGACAGTATACACACTATTATCCCTACTCTCCCTTCCACTAACAGACCTTTTACTCCCTGCTCATAGAAATGGATAGAAACATCCTGACTCTGTACTTACCTCATTGTCCCCGGTGACTTCAGTCTTGGATGTTAACAGGGCAAGAGAAAGAGCCACAGTGTTCAGGACACTGTCCTTCACTGAGCTTCTTGGGCAGGCCTTTGACATCTCTGAGCTCATTTAACTTTTCAGATGGTGGAACTGAGCCCCACAAAGGTGCCTCTCAGGTCTCACAGCCAAGAGGAGCAGCTGGGATTTTAACATAGTTTTGTCTGTTACCCGAGCCTCTGCTGTCCAGGGCCTCACCTTGGCACTTCCAGGGGCAGAGAGAAGTTCAGAAACGTCTTCTTCTCTCCGGAGAGTTGACAGCAGGTGGCTTTTAAACAGAAAGGCCTCCCTGAAGCTTGGCAGAGCAGTGTTGCAGTTAAGAGCGTACATTTTATTACTGAGATAACTTGGGGATGTAATTCTTGCTGCACCTTGCTGTGTCATTTAGAGCAATTTAACCTCCCTGAACCTCAGCTTTCCTATTTGTAAAATGGGGATGGTAAAACCTACCCCAGAATGTTGCATGAGGATTGGGTGGTGTAAAGATGTGAAGTGCTTGGCCCAGTGTCTGGCACGTGGTAAGTGTTTAATCACAGGGCCGAGGGTGATGTAGGAGAGATGCTCGCTTGGGCGGGGGGAGGGTGCGATGTTGCTTGCACTCCCGGTACCCGCCTCTAGATGGCGACAGGAGCCAAAGAAAAGGGCCCTTGGGTTATGCCCTTTGGGCTGTGAGCCTCAGGTGTCCAGTGACCCACAGCACTTGGACCAGACCAAGAAAGACGCAGCAAGGTCCAACAGGAAGCCTTCTGGAGCTGGAGGAGCCCTTAGGGCTCATTCGGCACAAGTGGGGAGACTGGGGCCCAGAGACCGAAACGGTGGGGTCAAGGCAAGTTAGGGGTGGCGTCTGCTTCCTATAGCAAAGGTGTCCAGGAGTGGTGGACACACTGTCCCTTTAAGCACAGAAAAATACCCCCTCCTGCTCTCAGGTCTAACCTTTGAGGCTTACTCACCTGAAGCCGGCAGAGCAGAGAGGAGGCTGTGATGTCACAGAGCCAGGGAACCAGGGAATGTTGGGGGCAGAGGGGTTTGACTGGACCACAGCGTCAGGGAGGGGTGGGGGAGGACCGTGGATCCTCTCTCCAGTGGCCCTTCCCTCTGTCCACGAGGCCATGCTCTCCACCATGCCCATCAGATCAGCTCGGTGATTCTGCCCCATGCATCTCTTATCCTTCTTAGAATAGTATGCTAGCATGCCCAGCTTCTTCTTGGGGATGGGGGGTGGGGCGTGGGTTCTAGACACTTAAACTAGTGAGGGAAAGTTTGATGAGCAATGGGATATTGACAGAGTCTCTCCCCAAATGACTCATTCATTCCAAAGGGAAAGATAGTCATTTGCAGTGGAGAAGCCTGGCCGCAAAAGCCACCTTAAGCAAGGGATCTAGTTAATGTCACCCATGGCAGGACCTACCTCCACCATGTGTCGCTTGATATGGGGAGGATACAATGTACTTCTGTGGTCTTCCTGCCAAACATGCAAAACTGGCATCTTAAGATAAACACAAACTGGGAGGACGCCTTAGAAGACAGTCATGCCTGTATGCTTCAGAAATGTGAAGCTCATGGAGGACAGAATTGTTCCAGAGTAGAAAACACTGAGGGGACATGACGACGGCATGGGACTCATGATGTTGGATTCAATCCTGCACGGGGCAACAAAGCAGCTGGAAGATGTTTGGGCGGAGGGGGGGGGCAATTGATGATAATAGTATATCAGTGTTGAATTTCATGTTTTCAAGAACTGTCCTGAAGTTATGTAAGAGAATATTATCGTGGTTTCTAGGAAATGCACCCTGAAGTATTCAGGAGTAATGGGATCTGATGTGCACCACTCGCTTTCACGTGGTTCAAAAAAACTAACAGGAAGAGAGAAAAGACAGGATAGAGCAAGTGGGGGAGATGTAAAGAATTGTGGAATCTGGGTGAAAGGTAAATAAGAGTTCTTTGTCCTATTGTAACTTTTCAGTAAATTCAAGATGATTTCAAAATGGGGGTGCCTGGGTGGCTCAGTGGGTTAAGTGTTTGCCTTCAGCTCAGGTCATGATCCCAGGGTCCTGGGATCGAGCCCCCCACCCCCGTCCCTAATCGGGCTCCCTGCTCAGTAGGGAGTCTGCTTCTCCCTCTGCCCCTCTGCTCCTGCTATCTTTCTCTCTAACAAATAAATAAAATCTTAAAAAAAAAAAAGATGATTTCAAGACCAAAAAAAGCTATCCATAGGCTTAAATTTTTTGTTTTAGCTTAGACGTGACAATGTATTTAGAAGCAGTAAGGCATTTGGAAGAGCTACTCCCTGGGGGGGGGGGGGGGAGGGGAAGAGGAGACACAGTCCTGTGATATCACCAAGGGCTTTAATTGGAGGCAGCTCCCCCCACAGTGGCTTTTTCAGGAGCTGAAGGGATTCTTGCTGGTGGCACAGAGGTGGCTCAGACGTCTTCTCCTCCTCTGCGGGAGTTTCTGAATCTGTCTTCATGGCCCCTGCTCACCACCCCCTTCCTCCTGGAGCCCCTCCAGCAGCGTGCAGTCCTGGAGGCCTGCCTGGGAGCTGTGGACTAGAATGCTCAGGGTCTCCCAGTGTGGCACGGCTGGAATGGACAGTGATCCTGAGAGTAGCGGTTTAGGTTGCTCTTGTAAAAGCCTCTTGGGCACACATGTGTGTTCAGTTCTAAAAGAAGAAAGGAAGAAATGATGACGCTGGGAGGAACCTTTGCATTGGGCTTGGATGGACCATTCTGGTCACCTCCAGCCCTGATTACCATCAGATTCTGGAATACTGGGTGAGCCACGTGGACCCCAGGCCAGGACTCAGAAGTTCTTTGTGACAGGGACACACATCAATAGGTTCTGTGTTTGTACTTCATTGGTGTATTCAGTGATGATCAGGTGACTTGCAAAGAGCAGTGGCCTGGAAAGTGAGAGAAATGGGCCCATCCTGGTTCTAATACTAACCTTACCTCCCGGTGGGCTTTTGGAAAGTCCCTTCGCCCTGTGGGCCTCAGTCTTCTCTATACAATGGGAGGTGGGTTTTTAAACTGTGTTCCACGGAGGCCTGTGGGGGTTGGGAGGCATGAGGGAGGGAGGGGCGGAGCTCTTGGGGCTCCCAGGCCCTACCCGCGATTCAAGTCCAGCAGGACACCTCTGGTCTTTTATTGCAATTGGACTTTGTGTGAGATTCTGTTTGCAAGGAGGGTGTAGCTGTTTTGAGAATTCTGAGATGTCTGGGCTGAGCTGGTCCTTAGCTGTCAGCAGCCGGCCTCCAGGGTGCTCAGTGAGCTAAGCCAGGTCACCCAGGTGGTGTCTGTACGCAGTCGTGTGGTGACCTTTCTTCTTCCTGGACTGGGCTTCCATCCTTCGTTCATGCCCCTGAGGCGTTTTGCCCCCAGCTGAACTACACTCTAGTCCACAAGCATCTTCTGGCATTGTTGACTTGCCACACACCTGGCTGGGTTTGGGGGAACACAGCTGTCTTCCTGGGACTTACCCTGTAGTGGCCAGTGCAGACATGAGCTTAGCAGAGAAGCCTGGATGTGTGTCCTTTGCTCCCAGACCTGCTGCTCCTCATGTAATTCCTAGCTCGGGAGGTCATGCAGGCAGGTCTCAGCCTCCTGGAATTGCTCCCATGTGTTCTAGAATATGACTGTAGCTTCCTGGTGGGAGTGGTCCTGTCTCTCCTGTCACCCCATTTGGCTTAGCTCACATATCAGGGGGCTTTAGTCATCTGGAAAACGGGGGTTCCTGGTCAGTATGGGGACCCCAGTTCGGGACTCACCTTCATACTCATTGTTGCTGGTGGAGGAGGCTCTCTTTTCTGGGTGGATCAGAGGTTGTCCCAAAGGTAAGCGGGAGGCTTCGTTAGCATCTACAGTGGAATTCTTGCTGGCCACCTCCTCCTTCTGCAAGCCTGGTAGTGATAATTCCACACCGTCAGGTGGGGAGGCTCAGGAGAGGTGACAGAAGTGAAGGTGTGTTGCATGCAGGCTGGTGGTGGTTATTATGGGGTGGGGACCACCTGGGTCTCCCTCCTCCAGTCTTCTGAGTGTTCCCGCTCATACGCACATGCTGGGTTCAAAATACATATGTTTTTTCCGAAACATAAAGTTTACCTTTTTCTCTGCTTATAAATGTGAGTGCATATCCATTACAGAAAAGCTGCGAAATATTGAAGAGTATGAAGTAGAAATAGAAATGCCCCAAACACCCATCCCTTCAGATGTGATCACAGTCCCCATCTTTTCTTATGCATATTTTTACAGGGCCCATTATACCCTATATATCATGTATACATTCTACTTTTTTTCATATATGATATATCAGAAACATGTTTCTCAGGTCACTAAATTTTAAGAAATAATGGTTGTATAATATTCTATTTTGCAGATAATTCAAGAGTCATTTAACCAATATTTCTTTTTGGGGGGGCATTAGATTGTTTTCACTGCATAAATACTGTTACGGTGAATGTGGTTGTATATCAGACTTTGTTTTTATATAGACTTCTAAATTCTTAAAAGTATAGCAACAGACTGAGCTGTGTCCTGTAACAAATAGCTCTGTCCTTTACTAGATGTGTAACTGCAGCAAATCGCTCCCCTCCCATGCCTGTTTTCAGAGCTGCAAAATGACACATCCATTTTGGGTAATCATGTCCCCTTCTTAGAGTTATTGTAGGGATCAAATCATATCGCTGTGCTCCTGTGTCCGCTCTGAAACACTGGGGGACTCACCTGATCACAGCGGGTCCCTAATGCCTAGACAGTGCCTTGCATGTAACAGGGGCTCAGTCACTATCATGGTTATTATCTTGGAAAAAGGGATTGACGTTCTTAAGGCTCTGGGTTTTTATTGTGAAATTATTTCTGGGGGGAGATTTGAAAAACCCTCATGGTGGATTTCTGGCAAAATCTGCCATGGGAGTTTTTCTCCTGCTGTTGAACTGCTCCATCTTGCCTAAGGGGACCGTGCCAGCCACCTCACTGGTCTCCCTGCCTATTGTTTACCGGTTTGGGTTAGAAGCCCCCACCTGATGTTAGGTTGGAATTACCACTCAAAAGCTGAAGGAAATCTAAGGGTATCTTGGCAGAAGAGGGATGAACACAATGAGGTCAAGAGAGGCCAGGCGGGGTGTTCTTGTCTGGTACCTACTGCAGGTCGATGGCTGAGGCTCTTGGGTTTGACTGGGGACCTTGGAGTCATCCATGGCACAGGGCTCTTCACAGTCTCTGCAGCATAAACAGAAGATCTTCGAGGCCAGGCTTTGGTGGGCTGCTGGAGGAGGTAAAGGAATGGGGGCCATTGGAAATTCACCGTGATGGGCGTCATACAGGGTCAGCCTCTCCCAAGATAGAATAGCCTTCCCCGCTCCCAAATCTTTCATAGCTCCCCATGGCCAGCAGACCCAGGCCCTTCTGTCTAGGTTGCCCTCTCTTAAAATTATTTTTTCCCATTTTATACAGGATTTTCTTACCCATGGAGAGGAGTTGAAACCTTTATTTTGCCAGCTTTGCCTGCAGGGGCGCCTTGTTGAATCAGCTGATCTTGACTTTGAGCCCAGTTCCCTGAGCAGGACTGTTTCCTAAGTAAACATAAGACTATGGATAAAAAACGCTAGTCCTTTACCTGTGCTCACACTATAGATGGAATCCCCTGACCGCAAAATCCCGGCTCATGCCAAAATGCGTACAAATATGCTCTGCCCCATTTCTAGGCGCATATTCTTGGGTAGATGCCTTAACTTTCTTGAACGTCACTCTTTTCATGAGGAAAGTGGGAAAGAAGTGCCTATTTGTAGAAATAAAGGGTTAAACGTATATGAAAAGTCACCGCTGTGGTGCTTGGCACCCAATAAATGCCCAATGGTCATTCCATTCCCTTTCCCTTCCCTTCATGTGATTTGTTAGTTCCAAAATATTCCAGCTGGTCCGGGTCCCAGGGGAACACGGCAACGAAGCATAGTCTTGTGAGTTTAGGTCCTGGTTCTGCCACCAACTTGCTGACTGGCTGGGGGTAAGTGTCCATGTGGATCTCTGTGTCTCAGGAGCCTCATCAATAATAAGAGGAAGTTAGGCTAGATGGTGTCTTCAAAGATCTTTCTGGTTCTGATGGTCCAGAATTATAAAACTTTTAGTCCCAAACTTCTTTGTCTCTGGGTACGTCCTGTTCTCACTCCCAAGACCCCCTTTTAGGAAATTCTTATCATGGTATTGGCTGATGTCCCTCACAAGACCCAATTCACTATTTGAGCTGCCTCACTCATGGGCACTTGCTTCTCATTTTCTCTATTGCTCTCCCCTGGTCCCAGCCACCATTATCTCTTGCCTGAATTAGAACAATAGCCTCCTAACTGATCTCTTTGCTTCTTTTACCCATGACCTCTTATATTAATACAAAATCTTTAACTTCCGGCACATACGCTCTTCGATAATAGCAAAATTTCTATGCTGTGGCTAGATACATTCAGCAGACTAGACACATATGAATGTCCCCATTTTGCGGGATCCTTGGACCCAAGGGGTCCTCCGTGGGTCCAGTGAGCCCCCATCTCCAACAGTCTTTGGGATTTTTTGCCAAATAAGTTTTTGGACGTGATTTGAGCTCTGACGTATTTCCTTGAGCTCTCTAATGAACTTATCGTATCTTCTTAGGATTTATAAACAGATGGAAATTTATATAAGGCAACGAGTTCTTTCATTTTGGAGATGCACCATTTAGCAAATTGCTTGCCATTAATATGCTTATTCTGTTGCTTGCTTGAGTTTCAATTTCCCTCATGTAAATTCCTACCTCATGGGATTTTGCTTTGTTCCAGATTGCCTCGCATATGTTGAATGTAGAAGGAAGTGTTTCCTAAGGAAGGAGTGGAAGCATAGGTCTGACAAGCTCTTACCACAGGTCAGCCCTGAGGACTATCGGTGGGAGGTCTGTTAGGTGCTGATCAATGTGTATAAGGGTAATTGCTGAAACTCTGCCTTGGGTCCCTCCAAACCTTCATGAGCACCTGTTCTGTCTCGTTGACTTAATGAAAGGTGCCTTTCCTTAGCCCATATTCTGGAGTGAGTGATTTCCAGGTTATTGATCAGATGGCCTCGTTTAGGCTCTCTTAGGCCACGGAATTCAAGACACCACGCATAACTGTGGTCAACTGTGGTGTACCCTCTTCTGTTTGTCATGGTCTCATCTACATTAAAGTTGCTGCCTCTTCCTGGAGAAACTCTTGCTTCATATGTACACTCTTACTACGTGTCCCTTCATGTGTGTGATCATATTAATAAATGGAAACGTTTCACCAGATGACTTGGAATTATGGTCATTATGGCAAACATTTAATGTCAAAAGTAAGAGACTTCAGAGGGACTCTAGAAAAAAGAGAAGACAAAAACACCAAATATTCAGTAGCGAGAGCTTCTTTGATTGGCATGTTCTGGCCTCCGAAAGAAAAAAAAAAAGTACTCCTACTCAAACCTTCTGAAACCTACTTTCTTTACATCTCTTTTTCTCTTTCCACCCAGCTTTATCGTTACCACCCACTTACACTCTTTCTATTCCTTCCCATGACTGCCTAAATAAACTCCCTTCATTTCTGTAGAAAAGAACAATCAACATCGCACAATATCCCCCTAAAACTCCTGTACCAGGAGGTGGGTCCAGAGAGGTTGAATTCAAACCCTGGGTAACAGTGGAGTTGAGGGCAAAGATTTAGAATCACCCCAAATTTCAGAATGGCAGAAAGTGGTTGTATTAAACTCAGGATTTTGTTAGTTATTCTCACTCTTATTGACCATCGCATCTGTACCAATCACTTCACTTAATTGTTGAACTTCAATGAGGGGGAAAAATGTTTAAGAGCAGCAGGATGGAAAAGGCCAGAAGATTTGAATAACCCACCTACACATAATTCAAAAAAGTGGACTTGAGAAGAAAAATAGGAAATGTACCGTATAAAACTATTTCGACAACAGTGGTTGAACACCTGTGCAACCCCTGAGGGTCTCTCCCACAGCTTTGGTTGAGGGAGGACCAAAAGGGGGAGGCTGAGAATAAAAAAGAAGTTCCCACTCTCCTAAGTAAAGACCGATGGCTCTAACCACGGTTAACAGCTAATCTCCAGAACCCGTTTTAAACTCGTCTATTAATGAAACTTTGCCTTAGTGACCGTTCTCCTGAAAGTAAGAGATACACAGCGGTATGTACCCTTTCCCAGCTGCTGGTCGACCATTCCGCAGCACTTCCTGCCTCTGAAATGCCACCTCTCATCAACTCAACATCTTCCGGAACCCCTTGTATGTCAGCCCTTAGCTTTGACTTTGTCATAAAAGGTTTCTTTCTCTATGGCAGCTCATAGATACAAATAGCCTGGAGATCGTTACATATTAGCAGTGCAGCAGGGGTTTAAATGTAGGTTTGTCTGAATCTATCCAATGTTTTCCATACCTTTACTCCAGCCAGCAATTTCATGAGAAAAAGAGGGGGAGCGCAAACACTTTCTCCTTTGAGTCTTGGTAGCAAAGAGTGTTGGACTTTTGAGTCCTCTTCAGAAATAGAAAGACTCTCAAGGGAGGTGGTGTAACAGTTACAGGCACATTCTTTGGGGGATAATTCTTAAGGATCTACTACTTATTAAGCTATGAAATTTATAAGAATTTTACTTCCTTTAAGGCTCAGTTTTTAAATCTGTAAAATGGGGATGACGATAATAGTGTCTACCCTAGAAGGTGGTTGCGAGAATTAACTAGTGATGGAAAGTGCTTAGCACACCTGCCTGGTACATTGTAAAAGCTCCGTAAACGTAAATGCTGATGTTGATGATGATGTCGAGTTGATGATGCTGGCTGGGCGGGGGGAGGGTGCGATGTTGCTTGCACTCCAGGTACCCGCCTCTAGATGGTGACAGGAGCCAAAGAAAAGGGCCCTTGGGTTATGCCCTTTGGGCTGCGAGCCTCAGGTGTCCAGTGACCCACAGCACTTGGACCAGACCAAGAAAGACGCAGCAAGGTCCAACAGGAAGGCTTCTGGAGCTGGAGGAGCCCTTAGGGCTCATTCAGCACAAGTGGGGAGACTGGGGCCCAGAGACCGAAACGGTGGGGTCAAGGCAAGTTAGGGGTGGCGTCTGCTTCCTATAGCAAAGGTGTCCAGGAGTGGTGGACACACTGTCCCTTTAAGTACAGAAAAATACCCCCTCCTGCTCTCAGGTCTAACCTTTGAGGCTTACTCACCTGAAGCCGGCAGAGCAGAGAGGAGGCTGTGATGTCACAGAGCCAGGGAACCAGGGAATGTTGGGGGCGGAGGGGTTTGGCTGGACCACAACGTCAGGGAGGAGGGGAGATAACTGTGGATCCTCTCTCCAGTGGCCCTTCCCTCTGTCCACGAGGCCATGCTTTCTGCCGTGGTGTCCCATCTGGGCACCGGAACAGAAGTCCTGGTGCCCCCTATGGAAGCATCTCGAGGACTGCTGGGCCAGAAGGGGGCAGAACAGCGCTGGACATAAAAGATCTGGGTCTACCTTCTGTCTCTGTGCACTTGCTGGGTACTAACTTTGGGCAAATGGACTTCACCTCTCGGTTTTCAACTCTGCAAAATGGAAATAATGCTGATTACATGTCCTAGATACACTTTTTTTTTTAAAGATTTTATTTATTTATTTATTTGAGAGAGAGAGAAACAGCATGAGAGGGGAGATGGTCAGAGGGAGAAGCAGGCTGCCCGCTGAGCTGGGAGCCTGATGTGGGACTCGATCCCAGGACTCTGGGATCATGACCTGAGCCGAAGGCAGTCGCTTAACCAACTGAGCCACCCAGGCGCCCCTTAGATACACTTTTAGGATTAAGTGAGATCAGGTAGATATAAGACATTTAGCATGGTGCCTACATATAGTAAACATTTGAGGAAGGAGTTGTTAATAATATGTGCAAAAATAAAGTGACATCTTCCCCATCTATCTTTCAGATAAAAGGAGAATTGCTTTGTATTTGATTTCTCACAAAATCTCTCACCTTAAAGGGACACTCTTTCAATTCCTTTATTTAGGACAACCAGGCACTATTTGGGGAAGCCAAATTAGGTTAAAGCGTTCTCCATCAGTGCTATCTTTGGATGCTTATAGAGGTCACCTGATACACAGGAAACAGAAGAAAGCAAAGCCATTCCACACAGTTTTGTAGTCATGGGGTCAGTGGGGCAGGGGCTTAGGTGGGAGGGAGATGTGACTTTACCGTTATAAGTATTGGATGGTGGGTAAAACAGTCTTTTGAACCTCACTTATAAAGCAATACTCTTAAGTGGCAGTGTTGAAGGTTCTCAACTCTGGCTGCAGATGAGATCCCTCTGAGGTGTTTTTGAAATGTAAGAATGCCCCGGGGCCTAACTAAATTAGAGTTTTCTGGGGGAGTGGGGAGTGGCGTGGGGGCTTCAGGATTTTTACAAAACTTTCCAGGTGACACTTGTGTATAAAGAATACTGAGAACCACAGAATTACCTTGTGGAGATTTCTGTGCCTGTAAACAAGTGGTTCTCAGTCCAGGCTGCACTTGGAATCACGAGAGGAACTTGAAATAATGCCACACCCCGTGTCCACTCCAGGCCAGTAAACTCACTATGTGAGCCTTGGTAGTTTTTAAAGCTCTCCAGGTAATTCCCCCAATTAAAAAAGTTGAGATATAGTTGGCGTATAACATTGTGTAAGCTTGATGTCTATAACATGTTGGTTTGATACATGAATATATTACAATATTATTACTACAGGAGCATTAGTAAACACCTTTATCACACCATGTAACTATCATTTCCTTTTTGTGTTGAGAACGATAAAATCTAGTCTTTTAGCAGCTTTGAAGTTTATAATACAGTATGATTTTTTTGACCTTTCCTTGTCTTTTTAAAATACGGTATGATTTTTAATTCTCCTTCAGCGTTGAGAACCACTGACCTCCAGAACAAATGTAAAAAACCTAAATTTTCTTGATGTTGTATGAATGAGTCCTTTTAGCTCTTCAAGGACAGCATCATACGTGGGTTCAAAAGCACTATTTTTCAAGTAAGAAATTGAGATAATATACTTTGGAAAGCTGAGATCAAGGTTGATGTTAAAGATGTCTGTGAAGCATTTAAATGGAATTGTTTCAGAAAGTGGGTGAGGATAGCAGTACGTCCAAATTCATGTGTTTTATGTAATATGCCATTGTAAATACATATTGTATTGGATCCCTATAAATAGAGCTTGGTTATTTCACCCATAGCACTGAACATTTAACTATGCAAGTTGGCAAAAATACTTTAAGACCTCTTTGCATGAGAAACTGGAGGATTGTCTTCTGTTTGGGGTGGTTTACCATCCAAGGATATATGGTATGATTGCTTCCTTCCTCTTGAGTCTGGGGTAGGAGACCAGTCAGCAGGCTCCTGTACTGATTCTTGGTCTAGGCAGAGGATCATGAAATCTTGAACTAAGACACTGGTCGGCATTGAGGGGGTGGACGTTGAATTCGGTGATTCCACAGCTCATGGGCAAGAGTCAGACCTCCAGGGTGAGAGGCCTGTCTTCTTAGCTTCCTGTATTACCTTGGCCATCGTTATTAGCCCCTGGACCCTTCGTTTCCTTATCTTTAAAATGGGATGATTTTAAAGGTAATAGAGTTGATGTGAGGAATAAATTCAGCCTGCATGCTGTAAGTAGAAGGGTAGAGAAGAAGCACTCAATAAACGTTTTATTATTTTCATTGTCACTATCGTCATTATTATTATTTGATGTTGAGAGGGAAGGATGAGGAGTATGGGTGGATGCCTTTGCGTCTAGCTTTTGCTTCTGTGAATGTGAAATGGGAGAATTCAGGAAGAGGAGCACATTTTGGATGAGGACAAATTCAGCCTTTTAAAAACTTTCATTTGGAAAATAATTACAAATTTGTAGGAAGTTGTCAAAAAATATGCAGAGAGGTCCTGTGAACCCTTCACCCGGACTTCCCCAATGTTAACATCTTGCATACAAACAGTATCAAAACCAGGATATGAACATTGTTACAATCCATAGAGCTTATGCAAAGTACACCAGTTATACATGTATTGGTGTGTGCATATACCCATCGCTGTGTGTAATTTCATTACATGTGTGGTTCACGTGACTACACCACAATCAAGACATCTAAGTACCATCACCACAAGGCTCCTGTGTATTACCCCTTTCTTGTCACACCTACCCTCTCTCCCCACCATCTCTAACCCCTGGAAATCACCAATCCTTCTCCATTTCTATAATTATGTCATTTCATGAATGTTACATAAATGGAAACATGCAGTACTTATGTATCTTTCTGAGGTTGGTGGGTTTTTTTCTCACTTGGCATAATTTGAGGTTCATCCAAGTTACTGTGTATATTAGTGGTTCATTCCTTAGAATTGCTGAGTCATAAACCATGGTATGGATGGATCACAGTGTATTTAACCATTCACATGCTGAGAGATGTTTAAATGGTTTCTGGTCTTTGTCACAAACAAAGCTACTATGAACACTCAAGGACTAGTTTCCATGTGAAAATAAGTTTTCATTTCTGTGGGATAGATGCCCCAGAGTGCTATCACTGGATTGTATGGTAAATCCATTTTTAGTTTTGAAAGGAAGTGCCAAATTATTTTCCAGAGTGACTGTCCTATTTTTCATTCCTACTGGCAAGGTATGAGTGATCCTATTTTTCTGCATCTCATCCAGTGGGGTTTTTTCCCCCCACTATTTCTTATTTTTGCCACTTAACCAGGTGTGTGTTGTTGTCTCATTGTGAATTGAATGTGCATTTTTCTAATGGCTAATGGTGTGTGAGATCTTTTACTGTGCTTGCTAGTTACCCACACACCTTCTTTGGTAATATGTCTCTTGGTGCCTTTTGCCCATTTTCTAATTGGATTGTTTTTTAAATTCATGTTTAAAATGACAGCTTTACTGAGATATAAATCATATACCACAGAATTCACACTTCTAGAAAATTCAGTTTTTATTACACTCCTAGAGTCATGCCACAATCACCACTAATTCCTGAATATTTCAATCACCCCAAAAGGAACTCCATACCCATTAGTAGTCACTCTCTGTTCTCCTTCCTTCCTGTCCCTGACAACTATGTATCTACTTTCTATCTCTATGGATCTGCCTATTCTTGACATTTCATAGAAATGGAATCCTACAACATGTAGTCTTTTGTGTCTGGTTTCTTTCACTTATCGTAACCCTTTAAAGGTTCATCCATATCGTAACAGGTTATCAGTCCTTTATTTGTCAAATAATGTTCCCTTATATGAATATATAATATTTTATCTATTCATCTGTTGATGGACATTTGCATTGTTTCTACTTTTTGGCTCTGTGAATAATGCCACTATGAATACTTGTATGCAAGTCTTTTAACTGGCATGTTATCATTTTTCTTGGAGATATATATATATATATATTTATATACAATTCTTGGATATATATATATATATATATATATATATATATATATACATACACACATATATACATCTGTATGCAGATATATATCTATATATACCTGGTAGTGAAATTGCTGAGTCATACAGTAACTCTATGTTTGGCATTTTGAGAAACTGCCCACCTGTTTCCAGAGTAGCTGTACCATTTTTCAGTGCTTCCAGCAATGTATGAGGGTTGCATTCACTTTACATCCTTGGCAACACTTGCTGTTGTCTGTGTTTTATTTTAGCCATCCTAGTGGGTATGAAGTAGTATCTCATTGTAGTTTAACTTGTGTTTTCCTACTGACTAATGATGTTGCACATCTTTTCATGTATATATTGGCCATTTGTTCATCTTGTTTGGAGGAATATCTATTAAAATCCTTTGCCCATTTAAAAGTTGGATTGAGTTTTAAAAGAGTTCTCTACATATTCTGGATACTAGACCATTATCAGTATGATTTATAAATATTGCTCACATTCGGTTGATTATATTTTCACTGTCTTGGTAGTGTCCTTTTGAAGCACAAAAGGGTTTAATTTTTATGAAGTTCAGTTTAATATTTTTTTTCTTTTGTTGCTTGTGTTTTTTATGTCATGTCTAACCAACCACCTAACCCAAGGTCATGAGGATTTACTTCTGTATTTTCTCCTAAGAGTTGTATAGTTTTAACTCTTACGTGTAGGTCTTTAATCCATTTTGAGTTAATTTTTGTATTTGGTGTGAGGTAGGGGTCCAACTTCGTTGTTTTACATGGGGATATCCAGGGATCCCAGCACCTTTTGTTGAAAAGACTGTTCTTTCTCCCATTGAATGGTCTTGGCACTCTTGCGGAGGATCAGTTGACCATAAATGTAGGAACTTAAATTTACTTCTGAGCGTGTTGCAGTTGATATTGTAAGGGACAGTCAGATGAAGATTTCCAGAAAGGTTAAATGAGATATGGAGTGTGGTAGATGGCATCGTTGCTTCTCCTGCTTATGGTCATACCTTTGACACAGCACCAACATGGAACATGGGCAGAGTGTATTTCCTCGCTTTTGATTTTGGACTTGACTAAGTGACTTGCTTTGGTCAATGGTTTGTGGGCAAAAGGGTAAGTATTAGAATTTCAAGCCACTTCTGCTCTTCCTCTTCTGCAAGTGACACAAAAGAATATGGCCCAATTAGCCCATTAGTCCAGGAGGAGGATAAGAGACATGGATCAGGGTCACTTCAGATGTGCACCCCAGCTAAGCCCAGCTGAGATCAGTCAACCCCCATGCAACTCACACACGAGGAAATGATGATAAGTGACTGTCACCACTGAGTTCTGGGGTGGTTTGCACACAGTTGTGGTTAAGTGAGAAACAGGGCATGAGGTCTCATTACATATACAAAGTACTGTCCACATGAGAGGAAGGACTGAGATTGCTCATTCCACTTTCTTTTAAGTTTACTTCTGTTTGAATAAGAGCTCTGATCATTTAGAGTCCTCAAGATGTTTGCTACAGATGAGGGCATTACCGTGATATTTTCCCAAAGTGTGGGGCACAGTCCCCTGGTGGGAAATAGGATGATGTAATGTTGAGCATGGACATGATATTACATAGCACTAAATCCCAGCTTGGGAGAGAGAATCCCTTTTTGGTCCTTTTGCTTTTATTTTTATTTATTTTTATGGAGGTATCAATGACAAGTAGCACTTTATTAGTTTCAGGTGTACAACATAAAGATTTGATAGCTGTATACACTGGAAAATGATCACCACAATAAGTCTAGTTACCATCTGTCACCATAAGTAGTTACAAAAATGTGTTTTTTGGTGATGAGAGCTTTTTTTTTTTTTTTTTAGGTTTTACAAGGTTTTTAGTTAAATTAGGAGGAAAAAAATATAACCAAATGTACAATCTTAGAGCCATGACAATAAAAATTCTTATCCATAAGCAGATCAATACGGTGGGTTTGGTCTTTTACTCCAGCACTCATTAGCCCTGTGATTTGCAGATGCTTATATGATCTTTCTGTGGCTCACTACTTCTCTCTAAAATGGGTAAAGGCATAAACTCCACATCACAGAGTTGCAAGGATTCTAGGAGGCCGCCCATGTAGAGTGATTAACAGACAGCCAACCACGATACTGCTCCTACGTAATCACTGTGATCTAAACAGGCTTATTGCTAAGAATGATGTGAAATGATATATAAGATACTGCTTTGTAAAGTTTAAGGGGAATATACTTGTGTTACTGTGGGTCATTATGAAATAAAAATTTAAAAATGAAAAAAAATCCTAAATTTTTGGTCCTAAAACTCAGAAGATAAATCTGTCTCAGCCTTTTCCAGGGTGAAATGTTTCCTCAGGGGTCAGAAGCAGCCCCAGCCCATTGACTTTGGTGGCATCATGGGAGAACAAGAAAGCACTGAAGTATGTAGCACAAAGGTCAAGACATTTCCAACCTGGCTTCTCAGTCCTCCTCATTAGGAATTTTCTTGAAGGAGAAGCCCCATGTGGCCTCTAGGTTTTTAGAATGTACATTACTATTTACTAATAATCATAGTAATTACTATTATTTATAAAGTTAATCCTGGACAAATACTTTGCCAGTTCTACTCTTTAATATATTAATGATCAGGGGAGGGGGGTGGGAGGATGGGCCAGCCCGGCGATGGGCACTAAAGAGGGCACGCTCTGCACGGAGCACCGGGCGCCACACGCAAACAATGAATCATGGAACACCACACCAAAAACCAACGATGCAATGTATGGTGATCAACACAACATAACAACAAAAAAATAAACGAAGAATATATTAATGATAATTTTATTCATTATCCTGTATTTCAGTATAATTATAATTCATAATACTCTGTGACTTAGTATGTTTGTCAAAGTTTATCCAATGAAAAGACCAATTTTAAAGCTACATATTGATATAATTGAAAACCACTTGGCTATAAGTGCTTGGAATGAAAGGCTTTCATCCGCTACAACTGAATTACACTACAATTACATCAAAGGAGATCCTGATAAGACTGTATAGAGGATAGTGAACAATGATTTGCCATGAAAAGAAGAGCATTCCTAGGAGTAAACCATGCCATCTGCACAGAATACCAGTTTCTTC